GCTTTAAAAATTTTTTTTAAAAAAAGATTTCCCATCCCTCCTGGACTCTTCTCTCCTTTGGGTTGAGTTGCCGGGGATTTTCCATATCACTGACCTGTTTGGCTACAGCATATATTTGTTATCTTAATAGAGAATTCAAGAACCGTGTGGTTGCTTTCACCCAGGAACTCGTGAGCGATACTCTGTTTACCTGATCATCTTTGTTGGCTGGTGTTAACTCTAATGTAGCTGCTCCCCTTGTATTTTCCTACACTTTCTGCTGGAGGAAGTTATTGGCCACACATGTGAGGCCAATGTTGGGCCACTTAAAGTGGCCATGTTGGGCTGAATGTGTCACTCAACAAATATCAGGGAAGTTTGAACTGCCCATGGTGACATCATGTCTTATTGTCACATTGGCTAACCATTTTTCAAAGATAAATGTTTGTTTTTTCTTTGATTTGGTGGGTGGTAGTAGATGCTGATGACTATGTTGCTATAGCTTTTTGCTCCTCTTAAGCTGATCCAGCTGCACTCGATGTGGTTATTTACAGGAGGCTCTTCCTCCTGTAATTCATTGCAGATATACATATTCTTAACGTATAGTGTGACTCCTCCTCCTCTTCGATCCCTTCTATTTTTCTTAAAGGGGTTGTATCTAACTATTTTTGAACTCCAATTGTGAGAATCATCCCACCATGTTTCAGTAATTGCCAGAAGATCATAGTTGCTTCTATGCACTTGGTGTTCAATTTCTTGTTTATTAAGCATGCTCTGGTCATTGGTGTACAAACATCACAGTTCACTAGGGTTATAACCTGGTTTTGCTTCTGGGAGTTTGGTTTTTTTGGTATCAGTTCTTATTCGAGGTTTTTTTGGTTCTGCAAGGGTAGTTTCTTTTCCTGTTATGGTAGAACCCTTTTGTACGTCTTCTTCCCCTGTGTGATTTAGTTCAAAGCCTTCCTAATGAGGTTCTTCATTTTGTGGGCAAGGATTTGTTTTATGTACTTTGGAAGATGCAGCCACTGTACGCCAGTAGTCCTTCTTCAAAGAAATTTATCTTCTGAGCCCAGAAACCAAATTTCTCTCTTTGGCACCACCGTCTTAACCAGGTACTTACTTGGAGTATTTTTCTCTCTGTGTCATTTCCTCTTCCCTTAACTGGTATGATCTGGGAGAAGACTGCCTGAGCCCCAGTGTTCCCAGACCTTTGAAATCTGATGTAACGTCCTGTATATTTCTTCTGGCTGTGTTGTTTGTTCTCACATGGATGAGCAGGAAGGGATACTCATTGGTGTGTCTTCCAAGTTGTGAGTGTTGGCTGGTTGTGTCATTGATCTTGGCTCCAGATAAGCAGCTCACCTGACTTTTCTCAGGCTTAGTTTTGCAGATGCCATTTTCAGTTCCTTATAGGGAGAGTCTCCTACTGACATAACTGTTCTCTTCTTTTTGCTGTTGCAAGCATGGTGCATATCATAGGTTCGTTATTGCTACAGACTTGGGTTGCATCACTCTTATTTGGCTTTCTGATGGAGTCACTCTGGTTGGCTGTTCCTTTGGACTCACCTGCATGGTTTTTGAGTGTGCTCATCAGTTGCTCCATCCCCAGGGGTTCGCGCATGTTACCCTTGAGTAACTGGAAGTGACTTGAGATGGTCACTACTCCAGTTGTAGCATGACTTCTAATCATTCTGTTGGTGACTGCCACCTTTTGCCAGGGTGATGTCTCTTTTTTAAAAATCCCCAGAGTGCAGCGCTCGGTTTTTGCTGCCCCTCAAATGCCTCATCATCTTTTTTGTTCAGATCAAGGGTGACTAGTCACAGTTTCATCTCCTTTCATTGATCCCCTAGGAGGACAAGTTGCTTGCCTGCGGTTTGCTCAAATGTCCTTTGGGCTTCTTCTAGAAGGGCCAGTCACTGACATCTATAACAGTGGTAAGGCCGAGTGGTGTGACTGAGAAAAGAAATCACTTTGCAGTCATTTCTGCTCACCATCGCTAAAGGCCATTCGCTTTTGTAGCACTGTTTTGTAGCAGGGTGTTGTTTGTTTGTTTGTTTGGTTGGTTGAATGCTTTTCTAACCCATCCACTGCAAACATCTCGGGACAGCTTACAATAAAGGAGTAGAATAAACAAACACCACAGCAGTCTGCTGATGGAACTTTCTTCTTGCAAATGGAAGCAGTGGGAACATGGGAGACAAAGGTAGAATTTGTGGGCCCAATTGAAGGAGTGGGTGCAGGGAAAAGGCATTCCCACTTCAGCCTTTTCATGGGGCTGCTGTTGGCCCTCCGAGCTTCTTTTTCAGGTGGAGGTGTGCTTTTTGCCCAGGAGGGCTCTTTGATGGGAGGGATGGCAGGCAAAGACCAACGCTTTCAGTTTTGTCTCCCCTCCCCTCTTCCTTGGACACCCACCAGCTTCAGAGACCTCAGAAGCATATTGACCATAGGGCTGCATGATACAAACTTGGTTCCAACTGAATACCACTCCCCTTCTCCAAACCAAGAAGATCCACTTCCACCTGCAAGGTAGATTGTGCTGCTCAGGGTCCAGTCGCTTGGCTGATGCTTCTCAACTGGTCTGCACCTGACCCCACATGATCAGCCACAGGATGCTGGGACTGTGCCCTCCCTTATCAGCGTGCTCACTAAGCTTTCCCCAGTTCAAAATGGGCTCTTAACCAATTCCCTATGGCAAAAGCAGCAGCAGCAGCAGGCAAATGTTTTATTTTTTTGATTTATATCCTGCCTTTTTCCTACAAAGGGCTCAAGGCAGCTTACATCATTCTCCTCCTCCATCTTATCCCCACAACAACAACCCTGTGAGGGAGGTTGGGCTGAGAGTCTGTGACTGGCCCAAAGTCACCCAGTTGGCTCCATGGCCGAGCAGGGACTTGAACCCAGATCGCCTGAGTCCCAGTCCCACGCTCTTCACCACTACACCAAAAGTGAGGTGTTTGAGATGACAACTGAACCAGCGGCATACTGGAGCCAGGTTCCCAGGAATGTAGCGCTACTGCTTCTTTACGAACAGGGTTGTTGATATCCCCTGGCACCGCTCCTGGAATAGCCTGGTTCCTCCAAGCTTACCTGGAATCCTCACAGTCATGGCAGGGAGCAGGATGAATAGTATATTTTTCCTTGTAAGGTAACACGTCTGGAGGTGGCTTGCTCTTGGCTGGGCAGTGAAAACCAGTCTATGAGCTTTGAGGAAGAACTAGCAAATGAAGCGGCATGAACCGCTTTGCTGATCTGGATCGACACAGCGGCCTGCATTTAGGGTTTCTCCTTGAGGACACCGCCGTATGTGCTGTCATGATCTGGGTCGGCAGTTCCATGTATCCACTTGCACCCCTGGTCTCCCCCTGCCATCCAACTCCCCGACTGAGCTGAGGACGTGGTGCCTAAAAGGCTCGCTTGAAAGTAGCTCAAGCTGCATCAAAACTGAGTGCTTAGTGGGACTGTTCAGCTTAGAAAAAAGATGAGTAACGTGTGTCATGACAGAAGTGTTTAAAATATTACATGGCGTGGAGAAAGGAAAGAGGGAGACAATTTTTCTCCCTCTCCGACAACCCTCAAACCCAGGGTCACCCCATGAAGCTGATTAAGGGGGAGGTTTAGGACAGAAAAGGAAGTCCTTCTTCACACAGTAGATAGTCCAACTGTGGAATTCGCTGCCATGGGAAGTGGTGATGTCCAGCAACCCGGATGGCTTTAAAAAGGGGTTGGACAGTTTCATGAGGGAGGAGGCTATTGGTGGCTGCTAGCCTTGCTGGCCGTGTGCTTCCCCTTGAGCAGAGGTGGCCTGCCTGCCTGCCTGCACCAGTGGCTGAGGAGCCTGGCAGGAGGAGGTCCTGCACCAACCCTGCTGGGGGGATCCTGTGGGCAGCTGGTTTGCTGCCATGGGTGCGGAGTGCTGGACCAGATGGACCCTTGGACTGATCCAGCAGGACTTTTCTGAAGTTCTTCCATAACCTTCACCTCCCTGGGTGAGAAATGGGAAAGGGACTGACTGAGGAGGCCCAGGTGAGAGAGGAGAAGTGGGAGGTCCGGTGGCCAAATCATTTGACTCAATTGCTGTGTAGCTGTCATTATGGAAAACACCATATTGCCGTCCTGGAATGGAGTTATTTTTGGCCTTCCATGGAATGCACTTTTACTTCTGTGCAGGGATTGATGTTCTCTCCTCTTTCGTTTTAAGCTGTTGAATCTAGTCAGTTCACCTGCATTGTTTTATTGCATTGTTTTATACTAAGCTGGTATTTTATTATGTATTTGCTTAGGGTGCAATCCAACAGAAATGCTTGTAAGTCTCTGAGCTTGGAGAGTTATGGGCATCCTATGCAGGGTGGAAGGAGCATGGAGGCAACCTTTGCCTCCTCATTCCTCCTGTCCTGCAAAGCAGATACAATTCAGCTCTTTAGTGGAGGTGCTGTAGCCCAGTAGCGGGCAGGGCTAAAATGCAACCCCACCACCATCCAGTAGCTTAAAGCTCTTCCTGCCAATAGCTAAGCTTTAGGAGGTTCATTTCAACTGGTTTATGGTTGATGCATTTATGATGGGGAGAAACTGTACAAAAGCCAGGAAACCACCAAATGATCAGCAGCCGGGAAAAGAGGAATGGGTGTTGCTGTCTAGAGAGCCCCAGGAGCCCAAATCAGAATCAAGAGAAGCCATTTTCAACCCCTGAGTCAGAGGGTCCCTGTCCCTTGTGCAGCATCAGGTTAAGGCTGCAAAACTTACTGGGAGCCTTGAGCCAGTTATGACGACGTATGACCTACATCGCAGGGCTGCTGCTAAGAGCCAATTGCCAATTCAAGGTGTTGGTTATCACCTATAAAACCCTTAACTGGTGTTTCTTGTAGAAAGGGTGGGAAATTTGCTCTGGAAAATCCCTGTCAGATTCCCCCCGCCGCAAACATTGATGGTCGCTGTTCCGCAGATCATTCTCATGTTGGATTTTTATTTATTACATTTTATACTGCCCATAGCCTGAAGGCTCTCTTAGCCAAATATCTAATTGTTGTGTTTCACAGCCTGTAAGATTTTATTTCAGTAGTTAATACTTCATAGTATTGGATTGTTGACATATCAGACATAGTAATTTCTGATGCTTGCATGCAATAGAATTGAATCATTGACTGTATATTCTACTTGACATGGAATAACATTTGGCACTTGACAGCATTGGATAGGCAACATGCAATGGCATTTTGTACTTGACAGCGTACAAAATTTCATTGTTGATGCCTGCTAAAGCAAACAAAGAAACCAAGTCTAAAGCACTTGAAGGTAAACTTTCACATTCAAAATGCACATTTCAGTTTCGAGCTCAGTATTTCACGTTCACGATATGACTGCAAAATGGAAAATCTCAGCCAGTTGCAAATTAATTTCAGCTTTACTTTCCGGCTGGAACTACTTTGCGTTAACATCATGCGATCAAGGCTGCCACCCAGTGGTAGCTTTCTATCTGTCAGGAGGCATCTCTCGGGGCTGAAATACTATCTGGAGCCAGGTTGATCTGAACATCTGTAATAGAACACACTACATGAGATTACAATATAATTTCATGGCGACCAAAGCAGGCATCAAGGAGAGCATGGCTGGACACTTGGCAAAGGCTCGGTGAGATCAGCCCCGGGCTCCTTTCTCCTCCTCTCACTCACCGCTGCAACCCGTTACTCGCCTTACGCTGGCAACGGGGGTGGTGAGCAGATCCCGCAGATGCCCAGCAACGCCTTTCCCTCTGCCCACCCAGGAGACGAGCAGCGCAGCAGTGAGACGGGGGACGCGTGCAGGGAGGTGGCCAGTTGAATGTAATGGAAGCAGATCGCTTACACCAGTGTCCTCCGACTTGACGCTCCCAGACATGTTCGGCTACAGCTTCCTAGCTCAGGGACGGACAGCATCCTGCAGGGTGGGCCTGCTTCCCAGGTACTTTGTTTGCAATGAAAATCACTGGGCGGGAGGGCAGCGGGGTGCAAAATGGCCACAGGCTCACGAGCTCTGTGCTGCAACCCCGACTGGCACCGTTATTTTTAGGGGAACGGGTGATCCATGCCACAGAGGATTGTGAATGCCTTGCTAAAGAACTCTTTCGTCGTCTTACTGACCTGGCTTGCTTGGATGGGCGACTTGTGATTTATTTCTTTATTTAATCCATGTTGCTTACCCTATTTTGAAAAAATCTCTGAGCTACTTGAGAGAGAGAGGACTGCCATTTAAAGTAAAGAGGAGGAGCGGTCGGAAATCCTTTTCTGCAACCAGAATTTGTAGTTCACAGCACATGTTGAAAATAAGTTCCTTATACATTACTTGGATATCGGAGAGACACTGTAAAGTCAATGAAAGCACAACCTGATGCATGCTTAGACAGGAAAAGGTCCTTCAACAGCAAGGCTGGCTGGGGAATGCTAAGAATTGTAGGAGTTCTGCCTAAACCTGCATAGGATTGAGCCTTAAGAGGCCCTATAGATGTGGCAAACAGATTATCTGAAGATCCAATCAGGTATTGAGCAAGAAAGGAAGGTCTGAAAAATAAAGACTTTTACTTCCCTGTCAGCTGTGAAGAACTGGCAGGAAAGGAGTGACTAAGTTCATGCAGCTGGAATCCAAAATTTTGAGGAGGAGCAAAAGGAATTGATGTCTCTGATAGTCTAAGGCTGACACCTTCCAGTTCCATTGGACTACCACCCTCATCATCCACATGCTGGATGAGGATGGTTGAACTTGCAATCCCACCCTCCTGGAAGGATGGTAGGTTGAGGAAAGCTGATATAAGGGTTTGCCTTGCAGCTTTTTCCTAGGGCAAAGAAAATGCCCCAGGGGAGCCCTTCTTGATGGAGCACCTTTATGTGCTTGGGAAGCCAGGCTGGTCCCGGATGGGTCCTAACTGACAGGTGTGGCATCAGCCTGGGCTGCAAAGAATGCTAGGTGGCCCCCGAAGTCACATGCAGCGGGCTAGTACAAGGCCAACTGGCCACGCTCCCTGACGGAGCCGCCGCAACCAATGCCACTTGTGTTCTCAGTCCCTGCTTCCTCAGCCCCCTGCCCCTCACATCAGTGCAGAAAAAGCTAGCGGGAGGACTGAGCCAGCGCCTATTGATCAGTGCCCCCTGCTGCCAGCATGTGTCAGGGATACCCAGAACCCCAGGCTTGAGGGTTCCCCCAAATCTGCGGTCAGTCCAAAACCACACGACTCTCCAAAACTAAATCACTACAGGGACTGGATGCAGAATGCAGTCAGCCTGGCCTGGTCTTGCAGGCACCCAGTTTTGCCAACGACTTTCCCGTTGGGATAGTTTGTATTTGAGAATAGGGCGTCTCGTCATGCATATTGTACAGGGCAGCTTGTTTGGGGGTCAGGATAGACAAGGGAACCAAAAGCATGATGAGGGGATTTTTTGATTCTTCGTTTTGTTTTATTCCTGCGTGTTGATTGTCTATCAGCTGCAGTTTATATTGGGATGGAGGAGTCAGTTACTCAGCAGATCTGCCCAGACCACATTGAGACTGGGATGAGCTGACCTAGGTTCTTCATTACAGTTTGCACATGCCGCTTGTCGCAGCACAGCATATTCAGGGGCCACCAGGGCTGATTTCAACTGAGAATCCCCCACGCCAAAGACGTCCTCTGCCATATGGAAGGGTGCTGCTAAGGATCACCCCCTCTTGTGAAAGGTGAGCTTGCATGCCCAGCTCAGGTACTGAATGGCACAGGTGCTTCAGGATTCCCTCCCCTCCACATATCCCAGCGTCTGCTCCTTCCCCAGACTTTGCCAAGCTTCCAACCTGAGCATGTGTCCAGTTGTCCAGCCCAGAACCGTTGAAACAAGAGCATGAAACAAGGCCAAATTCTTTTAAGACACAGTGCAAGTGCTAAAATGGTCAATTCTCAGGTCAACAGATAAATAAATATGGTGTGGATGGAGAAACCTAGAGCTGGCCAAGCTAGGTGGGGTGTCCAAGCACCGTGAAAATGCCATGCCACAATCTTGTCCGATGTTGGGACGGCCGTGGTGTCAAAGGCGGCTTCCCTCATAGGACACGTATGCTAGCAAGACCCTCTGGCCACTCTCAAGCAGGTCTTCGCTTTTTCCTTCTTTGATGTGCTAGCCCTGCCCTTCACCCGGGCTGCGTCTCTTTCAGCCCAGCATTTCACAAATGAACACAGCCAAGCAGAAGCATCAGCAAATGGCTGTTGTCTGGGCACTGCAACACCGTCCTCTCAGCTGAAGCGGCTCAGTCCTGATCATACACTGTCCTGGCGTGACGCTCACGGGCCTGGCTCTGCAGGGAAACTGGGAACAGGGGATTACACCCTTCTTGCCCACCCTGACGTAACTCCTCAGTCCAGATGACGCTCCAGAAAGCCCCACCTGGGCAGCACTGCCCAAAGGCCTCTGTATAAATTATAGCACCACGCAAGGCCTATCTCGTTACGGGCCCCAGGACTGGGCAGAAGAGGGGGTCCGTACTGACCCCCAGCAGCGGCTTGGCTCCGGATGCGCGTCAGACGACGCTGTGCCTCACACCGGGTTCACAGGGGGGCTCCAGATGCAAGGGTTTGACTGCTCCCACCCGCTGGCAGCAAACGCACTGCAGGAAGTCCGAGATGTTGTGCGTGAAGAGGCTGCGGCACGGGTGAAGGTACTGCATGAAGAAGAGCATGAACGCGATGGCCGTGCAGTAGGCCACGATCAGCTGCAAGACCAGCATGGGGCTGCAGAAGTACTCGTAGACATCCGTCTTGAAGAAGTACCACGCGACAACCAGCACGCTGTTCTCCAGCCCACGGAACACGTAGAAAAGAACCAGGCAGCCCCAGCTTTGGGACTTGCTGATCAACTCCCGGTCAGCCAGTCTGAGCTGCACAGCCGACCAGCAGAAGATATTGATGCCGGCATAGAGCAGAGTGATGGAGCACAGGACTGAGACCGTGCCCACCTTGCTGAAGTTCTTCTCCACGTGGTCCGGCAGCTGAGCACCAGTCCTCCAGAACTGTATCCACGGCAAGAAGAAGAACACCAGGAAGTTGGCCCCACCAACCGCCATTGCGTAGTACTTGAAGACGGTCCCAAAGAGGACCAAGATGGTGATCCGGGTGGAGATTTCTAAGCCACGCCACAGGATGATGCACAGGAACGCCAACGGATGCAGGCGGATCTTGTAGTCGTCGTACTTAATCTGGATGGCCAGGGCATTGCAGACCAAGGCTCCGTAGGTGACTGAGAGCAAGCAGATGCACATCAAGACTGCTAGAAGGGGAAGGAGAAGAGAAGGGTGAGCTCACAAGGGCAGCTGGAAAGTGTGGATGGCACGGAACACACAATGGAAGTTCTGGTGGGGTGGGGTGAGACCAGCACAATGTGCTGCAAATTCATGGGAGCACAGAAAAAGGACACAGTGACAAGAAATCGGTTTCCTGAAAAACCCTTGGTTTCCTGATATTTCCCAGCTTTCATTTTTTAAAAGTGGGGTGGCTGTTTATGGCTGCAGAAAACCACCACCACGGAAGTGTGTCAGCACTCCCTGCAGAAATAACAAATGCCAAAGGAGCGACTGAATGTTAATATTCGGGAGAGCAGGAGACACAGAATCACAGAGGTCGAGGAGTCTCGAAGGCCTCCCACTCCAACCACAGCATTCCTACCAGACCTTGAGCGAGAGGGAGCCCACCAACCCTCTTCTTTGATAACTGAACCCCGTTCAATCGAGTTCTGCCCTCCAGAAAAACAGCGGAAGTGTCTTTGCCCTCTTCCGTACAACAGTTCTATGGGCATTTGAAAAGTGCCACCTGTTAACCCTTCCCCTCCCCACAAGTAGCAAAACCAGAATAAACTGTGCAAAACTGAAAAAGCAGAACCTGCCAACATAGAAAACATTTGTCCTGTAATTTGGCTTTGCAGAATTTCTGGGCAAAGCATTAGGATTATCATTGTGCCGAATTGTAACTGCTGGTATACAAGAGTAAAGGCAACATCCCGGTCCTGATTTGGCATTTCAGGACCCTGAGGCTGACTGAAAAATCCTGGCTCCCTTCCTCATTCCTGTCCTTCAGTCACAGAACGAAAATGGCCACACAATTCTTCTGGCTGGCCAGTGCATGCCCAGAGGAGTGCCTGCTTCCACACGAGAGCCCAGCTGCTCCCTGCAGGACCACCCACCACTAGCAGCTTTTAGGAGGGGTCCTGAGAGAGGGTTGTCTCTTGATGCTGCCTTTGTAGGATCATATTACTGCTTGTTTATTTTACTCGTAAACTGCCTTGGAAGGATTTAAATCCAGAAAGGCGGGATATAAACTACTCCAATAAATTCCTGTCATTCTAGAACACTGTGTTTGGATTCTGCCCCAAAGACAGACTCTTAATGACGACACTTCAGGCATCCCATACGCCCTACCTGGAAGTGAGCCCTATCGCATTCATCCTATTAGGTTCATCCTATACTCCACATTTGGCAGTAAGTCTGTTGCTTTCCATGAGACTTACTCCCACATAAGTCTACACAGCAAGGAGAGAAATGTGTGGCCTTGCAGATATTCTTGGAATGTAATTCCCATCATCCCTGATGATTGGCTAGCTAGAGCTGATGGAATTTGCAGTCCAACGATATCTGGAGGGCCAGGTGTTCCCACCATACAGGAATGCATCCCAAGACATTATTGGACACCCTATTTTGAATAAAATGAAGACTGTAATATGGAGGCTGAAAAAGCTTTGCTGCCTGAACCAGATGTTACAGCAGAACAGCAGGGTGGATTTGATAGCATGGGGTTAACCGGTTTGTCACCTGTTCCTGCACTCTTTTGGAACAGATGCCACCCAAGAAATAGTTTACAGTGCTGCCTGGGGCAAAAATAAGCTTTGATGGACAGTGTGGAAGAGATGCAAGAGGGAGATGGCTCAGGGCAGGTGTCAGCTCAGCTGCTACCAGAGAGCCAAGAGCACTAGAAAGTCAGGCCTGAAATAGCCTAGGTAGGAACAGTGATGAAATGGGGAAGGAATGCTCTGAGGCAGAGGTTTGGCTTGCCTTCTCACATCTGCTTCCGACAGCGACAGAACATCACTGGAAAAGGCATATTCAGCCTCTTTCCGGATGGCACGCAAGCCGGGATTGGCCAGTGGTGGCTCCCGAGGCCCAATCAAGCCTGCGTGTGAACAACCAGCAGCTGTCCCAGGAAACAGCACTGCTCTGATAAGCAGCTGTGGTTTATTTTATTTCTTTATTTTCAATTTATATCCTGCCTTTTTCCTACAAAGGGCTCAAGGCAACTTACATCATTCTCCTCCTGCATCTTATCCCCACAACAACAACCCCGTGAGGTAGGTTGGGCTGAGAGTCTGTGACTGGCCCAAAGTCACCCAGTTGGCTCCATGGCCGAGCGGGGACTAGAACCCGGATCGTCTGAGTCCCAGTCCCGTGCTCTGAACCACTACGCCACACTGGTTGAGTGCGCCTTTCAATCACTCGCCCACTGGCGGTGGTCTCCCTGCCGATTATTTATTAGAGAAGGCCGAGAAGTTCTTTTGTTTGAGATTTGACTTCCTGGATCCAACCCCAAGCTGCAAGCTCCATACATTTCCAAGCCTGCCACATGATTCAAGCTGCAAATATTTAGAAAAAAGCATACATTTGGAAAATGCATCCCAAATGTCATACATTTAAAATGTATTTCATACATTTAAAATTTGAAAATGTGCAAAATTTTCATGCGAAAAGAATAAAAAAGCAACGTTCACAATCTGACATGTGTCTGAATGAACCATGAGGTGGGAATCAGCCAACTCTGACAAACATGAGTTTTGCTGATTTGCATCATCATAGAATTTAAGCCAGAACTATACAAATAAAACCAGGCTGACGTTGATCTGTATCTTTTACACAGCTGGACTTTGTTTCAAAGGCAATCAAGCTGTTTCCGGAAGAAAGTCCCGGAGGCCTTTCTACACATGTAGATAAAAACATGAGTAAAATTTGAAACCGTCTCACCTAATAGCATTAACAAAAAGCTGCTTGTCTTTTCAAAGGCAAAAATCTAACCCTGATTAGACAATGTGGTATCCACACACACTGATGCACCTCTGAACACTTTTCCTGACACCTGCAAATGGGTCCTCCTTTTCCCACTTTTTTAAAAAAAATCAACACCTTTTCTTCCTGGCAGCAGAGATTACTTCAAAGCAAACAGGGCCTCTAGTGCAGGAGTAGGTGACCTTTTGGAGCCACTCGGGAATTTCAGAAATTGTCCTGAGCGTAACCACAAGGTTCCCTGTCCTGTAGGGTGAAGTTTGGCTAGCTACATATGGAGACGAGCATCTCTTCAAACTTCAGGTGCAGACTCCGCACAAGGATGTGAAGATACAGCAAGCATCTCCCAGCTGCAAACACACGGCTTGGAGGGAATGCCACTCCACACGCAAATAGATCACATCGATCAAGAGTATGCAAGTATGTCTTTCTTAAACTATGGGGTAGAAAGCCCAGGTGGAAGCATGAAAGAAATTCCTGGCATACTGGGAGCTGATGTGCAAGAAGACCAGCAGCAGGGGGACAGGAGGGAACTGCTCCTTCTGGGAAATCTCATTCTCTTGAGAGATTTTTGAAGACTAGGCAAGCAGTAGCAGGACAAATCACTCCCTGAGCCAATGCTTAAGGGAGACCTACTTTCAGGCAAAGGAGTGTCAAGATGCAGCTGGACAGCCATCTGAGAGGGATGGTTGAACTTGGGAGTCCTGTGCTTGTCTCTTCCTTTCCCTGCCCCCTGAAATACCCTCCCGAATCCTTCTTAGATGCCGCTTTGCAAGCTTAGAGAAGCAGCCAGCACAGTTCTTCTCATGCTGTCTGTGAAGGAGGAGAGGGGAGGATGCAAGCATGGATCCCCCGCTCCGAGCCTGGAAGAATTTTCCAACCCAGAGCTACAAATCCAAACCATCCAAGGCTCCAGATGCTGTCTAAGGGCCACGGATTGCTCTGATGTACATTTGCCTCTGTGAAACAGCTTGGCAGTTTTTACTATTAAGCAGTGTATAAACGTTATTAATAAATAAATGTGCATTTCTCCACACCTTGAGTAATTGAATAAACCTCCATTGTGTCTTCTTCTCCTTCCTAAACTAAACAGCCCAAATGCACTGCCGTTCCTCACTCAGAAGAGGCTCTGGCCTCCTGCGTGTCTACAAGATGTTCAAGATGGAGCAGAAAAGAGGGAGAGGCAGGAAGGAATTACGTGGCCAGCCTCCATTCATGGGCCAAGAAACCAAGGTAAGAGGTAATGTGCACTGGAATTAGTTAATTTTCTTCAGGTTCAAAGTGCCTGAAGACAAAGAGCCACTGTGTTCTCCAAAGAAAACGGTTCTTTTCTTCATCAGGCAGAGCGCAACGGTGCTTTGGCAGTTCCTTCAAAGAATCTGATTTAGTTTTCCATTTCTAAATGGCCAAAAATCACCCATGAGGAGAGGAGTTTGAACCTAGGTCTTCCCAGTCCAGTCATCTAACCATTGCACCACACCGTCTCAGAATGATGGGTGTGATCTTGTTTGTCTGTTCCAAGGCTTCACTTCTGCCATGGAAAGTGTGCCTCAGACCTAGCAATTGGAAGATCTGTCACTTTGCAGGTATTCATTACTGCAACCACACCTCTGGGAGTAGGAGAGAATCCAATTTTCACAGGTACCCAAACGGAGTCGTACCCAGACAGCTTGGTTGCCAAGACAACAGAAGCTCAACACATCACAGTCACACTCTGGTTCACTCCACTGGATCCAGGCCTGGGTTGAGATGTTTCCGTTTGTCTGAACTGGAACTCCACGATAGCTTTGAAAAAAGGGGGTGTTGGACACTCTCCAGCCTGAGGGCTGGATTCACTTTGAGAGAAGTTCTTGGAGGCTGCATGCCAGGGGTGAGCAGGCCCAGAAGCCAGAGCAGTGTGGCCAAAATACTGGCATGCTTTAGCTGCGTGCTCTTGCTGCAGGGAACTAACCCTGAGAAAGGCATTTTATAACCGTTCAGACCCAAGAAACTACCAAACAATTCCTGGGCAGGATGTGTGCCTGGAGGAGGGCCGCTACAAGAGGGCACAGCCATCTCGGACCGCTGGAGGGTGAGGGGTTCTAATCTAGTCCTCTGGCTGAAAAGCTACCTTTCTGCATGCAGGGAACATTTCCCATGAGAAAAATGCCCAGCCTTTTGAACTCCCACCCGGAGACTAAAGTGGTGTAACTCAAAACCAGCTTTACTAATTCACCTTCTCTTTGTGTAACCCCATGGAGACCATTTTGAATGGCTTTTCTTTCTAACTAAAGGTTAGAAATTTCCAAGCCCAAGAAAGCCAATGTGGAATCTTTTGCTGTTTTGTTTTTTGCTTTATGACTCAGGAGATTCCTTGACTCAAACCCTTGTTTTAAGTGATGACACAGGAATAACATCAAGCCACGAGCACCCCGAGGCCCATTAGCTATAGCAACCTCGGGACTGCATAAACTGCTAAGAGGGCCAGGATCCTGTGCCCGGGGGGGGGGGGGGGGGGGGGGCGGTTAAATGCCCATTTGCACTTGGGAGCAGAACTTGACAAACAGGAGTTTCATCTTTGCCGTGTGTTCCTGGGAAGGCTGCTCCAGTTTCACAGCTGTTCCTAACCCAGCTTTCTTTTATTTTTATGTACACAAAGGCCAGTGGGCATACTGGCTGGGGATGATTGGTGCTGTAGTCCAAGCCATCTGGAGGGCACCAGATTGGACCAGGGTGGGATGGCAGACAGAGACGTGTAGTAGCAAGACTGGAGTTTAAATCCTGTCTCAACCATGCTGAGTTATCTATTAATCTTTCCCTGCACCCCAGGAATCAATGAACTCAGATGCCAGGACAGGTTTTTCAGAATTCCAGAAGAGGACTAGATCCCCACACAGTTACATAAGCCCATGAGCACGGTCTGAAGGTAAGCACTGGGTTTATTTGGTTTATGACGAACTTGCAAGCAGCTATAATGGTGATTCCCCCCCAGCAGTGTTTCTGGCAAAACCTGCTGGCAACTTTTGTCTTAAAAAGGATCTCAGTGTGAACAGAGAAGCAACACAGCAGGCAAAGGGCGGCCTTATTCCAGGCATACAGAACACCCAATCAGAGCACAACCCATGGACCCTCCAGGGGTTCCTTCAGGAAATGTCCCAGAGGGATCTCCCCAAAGGAATCCCCACTGATGTCACGCTAGCTACCGAGGATTCCCCAAGCATCACTTTCTCTCCTGTCTCCAATCAGAGATGCCAGCAGGAATGCAAGCAGCTGGGAGCCAGGGCAGGGCAGGGCAGGCCCAGCACTCTTCTCACTGCTGGCCAAGCAGTTGCGTCCCCAGGACACCAGCGCCACAAAAAGCACCCACTTCCCAGAGCACTGGCCAAGTCTCCTAGTGTGACACACCCACAGGACACCGGGCGCTTCTCAAAGCCAGGGGGAACTTGGCCAGCCAGGAGAAGGGCTGAACTGGGTGGCATCTGGTGTCAGTACATGCAGCCCATGAGCATCAGCTGGCCCGCCCTGGGAAGCCAACTGCCTGCTCGTTCTGCACCTTTGCCTTATGACACCCCAACACTGATGGAGAGGAAACACTCGAAGCAGCATCTCCACCCATGCTCTGCAACATCGCCCACAATGGCTCAACCAGCTCCTTCTGCCGCATGCCTCAATCCCTGCCCGATCCCAGGGAGATGTCCTCTGCTGGACCAGCACCCCAGCCTGTGGGTCAGCGCCAGGCAAACGGACCCATTTCCAGCGGACAAGCCTGCCCAGCGTCTCCGGCTAGCCACGTGTCGTTCTGCTTTGCCTTTACCTCTGCTGGTGGGGACGTACTGTTCCATCACACTGACATAAAGCTGCAAGGTGAGCTGTGGGGTGGAGCCCAGGAAGGCCTGGATGACGGCCATGCGCTTGAAGGCATTGCGCTGGGTGACCAGCTTTCGCACCGAGTGCCCCACTTCCTGCTCCAGCTCAAACTCGGAGTTGTTGTGGATGTGTTTCTTGCGCGTGATGGTGACGTACGGCTCTTCCTCCCGCCCAATCCTGTAGAATATCACGATGGCCTCCAAGCACCTGCACGTGAGCGTGAGAAAGAGAAGCCCACATCAGCTCCGGAACCGCCGACCCTCCTCTTATGACTCTCAAATAGGAAACATATGAGCAGAAGCAGACATGAGAGTTCATGCAGCACTGCAAATAAAACAAAAGGACTACATTGTCTGCATTACACAGTCTTTATCAGTAACCTTCCCATGTTTTCTCACCACAAATGTCCATCAAGGAGAGATCGCTGGAAGAGCTGAACAGTGTCCTTGGGCAGGCAGCACCAGCAGCCATCTGTCTAAAGGTACCCAGCACCCGCTCTTGCTCTACATCTCACGTGCCTCTGCTTCAAAACTCCGCAACCATCCTGCATTTCTCCCGGGAGCCACTACCCAAGCAAGTGGACAATGAATGGGGAGTCTGCTCAGAAGATGCTCATGACTAATTATGGCACTGGAAAGGCTACTTCCTCTGGGCTGTTTAGAGTAGCGGTAGACAAGAGATTCTGGATTCACTCCCCTCCCCACCCCCAAGTCCTTCTCTGTGGACTGTAGCCGACAGGGCACCCTGAGCAAAATTAATGTAAAAAAGCATTCCATAGTGCAGTGGACTACGGAAATAATCAAATGTTGCTTTCAAACAAGTCAACTTGCTGCTTTGGGCTCTCAGTAGCACCATGGATGCTGTGTTTTGTATTAAAACTTTATTGCTGCTGCTGAATTTAAGGGAGAATTTAAGGCCTCCCTGGGGACGGGGGCAGGAATTGCATGCAGCCCACCCTGGTCAAGAACAGAGTTTGCTCGTGATTTCCTTCCGATCTATTATCTCTTGCTGCAGAAGCAATAACCAAAACAGACTCTAAATGGCAACATGTGCTGTGAGCCCCTTGTCACAAACACTCAACTTCCTGATGCAAGCACTGCCCAAGATTCTCCCACAGCCATAAACAAGGAAACACACCCACAACTGTCCCAAAGGCAAAATGTGAGATTGCAGAGCACACACCCTTTAAAAAAACAAAAAACAAATCCCAAATTCCAAGATAGTGCAATGGGGACAGAATTGCACTTCTCCCCAGCTTGAGTCAGACTGAAACTCCGGTGAGATGTTTCAGCGCCTCAGTAATTTCTGATAGTGCTCATAGCTGCATAAAACAAATGCATAACGTCTCCTGTCTTTCAGGTTTTCTGGCCCCACTATTTACAAACCTTTCTCCAATATCACAGTGTGCATGTAAATATAGTCCACACTTCATGCATCGCTGGAGCTGGCTCCAGTCCAATGAAATTTATGCCACAGCAAAGGTTAAACCAGATGGTGCTCTAAGATGCTTTTTCTCCCTGAAGATGTAGCTGTCTCTAAACTCCTAAAATGCTCCTTTTCCAAACCAGATACCTCCCTCGGTTTTCACTCCCTCTTCCTGTTTGAACTGCTTTCTTCTGGCTACTTGGGGGAAACAATCAAACTGCACTCTAAATCTCCCATCAAGTAGAGGCAGTGGTTTTAATCTCTAAACAGAGAGCACACAAGGCTGCTCAGAAGCCCTAATTCTAGGTGTGTAAGGCCAGTGATAGAGAGGGGAACAGTCTGCACATGCTCAGGAGCCTATTCTTCTGGATTACATTTCACCTTTTCCAAGGCTGGGCTTTAGCACTGAAGCTGGCTAGGTTTTTGCTCAGATCAAGGCTTCATAAACTGTGATCAATGAGCAGCCTTGTGTGATTTTTTTAAAGATCGGTGTGGCTTTGGAAGGGAAGAGAGGGGCAGCTTGGAAACAGCAGACAAGAGCTCTTTGTTGGAGGTTCCACATGCTGAGAGCAGGCCTGAAACCCGTTGCTCTTCCTGTCACAATTACAGAGGGGAGGGAGACAGACTGAAGGGCAGAGCACATGGCAAAAGAGGGCTAAACGAAGGACAGAATGACTGGGTGAAAAAACAGGAACACCTCTTCCTTCCTGGTCCAATCAGAGGGATGCTCATGTGCTGGCCAACATGTGGGCAGCTGGGGAGGGGGCGTGGTTGGGAAGTCTGACGATTTATTTTCTGAAGGGTTATGTTGGGGAAAGGTACAGCTTGTTTCTGCTTGCAAGCAGCCCGTGACATTTTGGTGCACAAGGTAGTAAACCAAAGTAGCGCTAATTTAAGAACTGCTTGCAAGAGCAGGCCAAAGGCCCATCTAATTTGCAATCCATTTCCAGAAGCATTGCTTCTGGATTACCCTGGCTGATTTGGGGGTATTTCTTCCTATTCTATGAGTTACGGATTTCTGCATTTGCTCATCTGTTTAATAAATGACAACCACCACCTGCAAGCAGGAAGTGAAGGTAGCAGTCTGTCCCAGCAACCTGAAAAGTTCTATTAGTCTCCTGGGCACAGAACCATCTGCTTAGACTGCCATGCATTTGTCTAATCCCTGTTTGAAAACATCCAAACTAGAAGCTACAGCTGTATCTCCTGGCTTTGGATTTCATATTTAATGGTCGTACCTGTTTGAAAGTTTTCTTTTGTCTCTCTTCAATCAATAAATTTAAAAAAGGTGATCCTGCACAGTGAACTGGACTGGCATCTCAGCTGAAAACACCATTATATTCTTGCATGGGTCTTGTTGGTTTCAGTGGGGAGCCTGCGCAGTTTGCAGGGCGGTTTCCTTGGGGCTTGTACCACAAAGGTCAGAGCTGTCTATCTGTTGGTTTTCCCTTTCTTGATCATGGCTGCACTCAAAATCTGCCACCTGAGGTGGGAAAATTCAACAAGCCTCATAGTTGGGCTGGTTCCACTTGTAAGGGAGCAAGAAAGAGACGCACAAGAGTCTTGCTTCCCTTGCTACTGAGGATACCGTTTGCCTAATGTTTACCCTTTCCCTCTTAATGTTTAAGCTGCTACGGGAAGGTTATCAAGTAGAAACGGCCTGATAAAATACGTTTTCTAAAAAAGCAAAAACTTACAGTAATAAAAACGCCAGCTTGCCATGATCAAGTTACCTGCTTCTAGTTGGTTTCCTGGCCTGAAATTGCAAGAACGAGATTGTGCTTAAGTGCTGTACTGTTACTAGTGCAAGCTGTTCAATGATGGAACAGAAGGTGCTGGATTTGGAAGACATTGCGGTAGTTTGGCATTTCCTGCTTCAGCCGCAGACTGGACAAAAAGACTGCTGTGGTCCCTTCCAGCTCTACGATTTGAGAACCGTTAAAATACCAAGCGAATCTGTGGCCAGGATACCTTCAGAACTGCTTTCCCTCATGGGAACTGCCAGTATATTGAGGTATTTTTGGAGGTCCTTGAAGAGCGTGATTGCACAGGAGTACACCTTCTCTGCGGAGCCACCACAGATACAGAACTCTTTCCCTAGGGAAGCTTGCCTCCCTCCTTACCTGCTAGCTCTTAGCTGGCAGGACAAGCTAGTTTTCTTCCAAAGAGCTATTGGGCGCTGTGACCATTTTAATGCCCAACTGGGAGCTGAAGCTGCAAGATTGCCTCTTTTGTTCGGATTTGGTGCTTCTAGTAGTCTGCTGACATGGCACATGGCTGCTGTTTATTCATTTAATGACAGCATATGCTTACGCAGCATACCGTTGAACTATGGAATTCACTTCCACCAGATTCACATCTTGTTGAAGTGAATGGCTTTCAAAGGGGATTAGACAAATAAATGGGAGAGGAGCCCACCAGTGGCTGCAAGTTCATAACACAATATGCTATTGGGGCAGCCTGCCTGTACACACCAGTTGCTGTGGACCATGGGCAGGAGGGTGCTCCTGCCCACATCCTGCCTGTGGGATCCCCTGGGCAGCTGGCTGGTTGCTGTGTGCACAGCCGCCTGGACTAGACAGACCCATGATCTGATCCAGGGTAGCACTTCTCAAGTTTCTAGTCTGCACTGTTTCACTGTTGCCTGGGATTCTGTACAGCTGACAAGAGGTGGGGTATAGCTATATTAAATGAATAATAAAGAGGAGAAGCTATGACTCAACGGGTAAGCACCTGCCTTGCATGCGTAAGTTCCCAGGTTCAATGCTTGGCTTCTCCAGATAGGCCTTGGGAAAAAAATTCTGCTGGAACCCCTGGAGGGCATTGCTGCCACTCAGCTTCAACACTGTGGTGCCAGTTGGCCCCACCTCTGAGGCTGCATAAGGCAGCTCCCAACGCTCCTAATCTGGGGGCACGCTTGGATGCAAGCAGGGCAGCGCTGTGGAAAGCAAAGACCACAGGACAAAAACCTCCACACATTTGCAGATGCTAATTTATATACATTCAAAGTCTCTCTCTCTCTCTCTCTCTCTCTCTCTCTCTCTCTCTCTCTCTCTCTCTCTGTGTGTGTGTGCGCGCGCGCGCGCGCGCCTTCCAAGGACCCCTTCTAAGAACATCCCTATTTGTAAACAGGAATGTATGGACAAGATTGAGGGAGGCGTCTTAGGCAGAAAGATTCAAGGCTGGAGGACAGCAGGAGGCGAAGGATGTGGGGGCAAAAAGCCAGTGGGATCGAATGCAGCCAGGATCCTTGGAGTACCCGGACAGACTGGCATCCCAAAGGTTCGGGGCTTCAGAGGAAAGCTACAGGGCTCCAGCCACACCCCTAAGCCCAGGCTAGATGCAAGGTTCAGTTAGAGCCAGGGGGTACAGTGGTTAGAGTTTGGGGCTGCACACCTGGCATCTATGGGTTCTGGTACCCACTCAGCCATGGAGCTCACTGGGCGACTTTGGGCCAGTCCTTGACTCTCAGCCTACCACAAAGGGCTGCTGTTGTGAGGATAAAATGCTGCAACGTAAGCCTCCTTGGGTTCTTCACAAAAGGAAAAAAGGTGGGATATAAATGCAACATGTTGATGATCACCAGTCTGTGCTAATGGAAAGTTTGTGCCTGCCACAACATCCATCCCATTACTCTTCTGCATTCAGCTCTTTGTGGCAACATTTATTGGCCACAGAGATGGCAAGGCAGTGGTGCCTCTGTCTGATTCTTAGTCCAGGCACACACCCTTCAAAGGGCCTGAATGACCACACAGAAAGACCTTCTGGCATAAACAAAGGATCTAAAGAAATGCAGCACGGATAGGGGAGTGAAGCATCTGGACAAGCAGAGGTCAGGTTAAAGAATTATAGCCTCTGCCTACTCCCAGCCCATCACCCAAAGGCTGATTCATAAAGCATAAATCCGGCTCCCTTGGAACATGAGGATTCCTCATTTGGCATAGAGGAATCTCAAAACACCTCCAGCCTTGCAGCAAAAGCAAATGGAAAGTTCCCAACATGCATCCACATCAGGAGGGATCCACTCAAGAAGGCAACAGGGTGAAATATTCCCAGGTGACTTGGGGAACCAGCAGATACCAGGCACCCCATACCAGGGGATGCAGAAAGCCTCCAGCAGCCCAGCAACACCCGGAAGGCTGCAGGGTTCCTGCTCCAACTTGAGAAGCTCCTCTTGTGTTCTTGCCTCTTCGGCTCTGCAGTCCAGTAGCGTCACTCAGAGGGTCAAAGCACAGAGACTTTTGACCAGCGGGGATGCTGATGCCAGCAGCACCCTCAGACTTTTCTCTTCCCTGCAAGCTTCCCTGCAATCGCCAGGGCAGTCGTTTCTACACAAGCTATTCATGCAGAATGGTTCAGGAGGAAAGGAGGTGTTCTCCCCTTCCCTGCATGGGGCTGGGAAAGGAAGGGCGACATCAGTACCCCACAGCTCTGCTGCCCCAAATCAGATCATCCTCCTTGCCTACTTGAGGCTTGGGGGTTAATTTTTTCTTCAGTGAGGGAATCTGGTCACAGGCCTCCTGCCTCACTTTCTGCGTGGCACTGAGATGTGGACAACCAAGCAGTGTGTCTGAAACTGCTAGCCTCTTCTTGTGATCCTCTGGAGTGCTTCCAGATTGGAGACTCCCAATGCTACTGAATAGGAGGCACCATGACAGCAGCCCATCTTTTTTCCTTAACAGATATTCCAGAGGAGGAGACGAGGAAAGAAGTGGGAAAACATGGGTGGGTCATGAGTGATGACACCTCCCTGCCTCGTGAGAAGGGCTCTTTTCAGTGGAGCATCTGTCTGAAGAGCACTTTCAGCAAGGTTCTTTTAGACAACTTTACTTGCAGAGTGAAAGAAGACACATTTTTACGTCATTTCTTCCCCTGTTCTAAAAGGCAGACATCTCTTTCCTCAGCTTAGTTACTGGGAGAAAGAGCTCTAAGCTGGGAGATGCTGGTATTTTTGGCCTCATTCCTTTCACCTCCAGCCTTGCCCAAATACAGTTCTCCGAAATAGAATTTGACATTCTGCCTCCCACTGTAAGTTCATCACATTCAGAAATGACATTTCCCTAACCATACCACTGAACTCAACATCTTCCTACCCACTATCTTAAAAAGCATAAGAAGATAATGAAAATCACCAGACTTTGATTATGTTAAGGCACAATCGTACACATTCCTCAGCCTGCTGGGCCTTTTTTCTAAGCATGCCTAGGATTGCACCCTTGGGCAAGGATCTGCTTTCATGCTACACGTAAAACAGAGGGGAAACCCTGGCAAAGAATTTGCCTTTTCCTTAAAAAAAAAATGCATAGAGCATGTTCATGCCATAAAGTGTGATGTCTACAAGAAGCACCCTCAGCTCCCTGCTGGGATAAGTCTAACTGGGTTAAAGTTGAGAAGGTGCTGCTGTATATGAGAGGTGAGCATGCAAGGGTAAATATTCTAACACAAGGCCACAGTCCCTACAGCCACACCCACAAGGAGGACTCATTCCTTCAGACGCCTGTGTCTATCCAGAACAACAAACCTGTTCAAGCAGTTTTCGCCTCCGTCAGGACTGCTGTAAGGCTACAGGAATCTTAATATCATGCTCAGAAACAAGCCACCCCAAACATTGCATTGCAGCCACCAATGATGTGCAGATGATGGGGTGGAATCTTCCCTGCTAGCTGCGGAGCATTGCAGCTCAGCCCAGAGGAAAGAGGGATCCCTGAGCAAGGTGGCAGATGACATCACAGTTCCTGCTAACTAAAAAGCCGCTGGTGTGGCGTCCCTGTGAGCCCCTGCTCCACTATACGCCCGGTAGTCCGGAAGGGAGGGGAAGCTCACCGAGATCCTAGCACTGCTCACCTGATGAGAGGCCCCATCAGCAGAAGATGCATGAAGAGTATGCAGGGCTTGTCGCTGGTCAGGTCCCGGTTCACAAAGATGAGGGTGAGCTGGTCCATGACGGAGGGAATCAGCATCAAGAGAAGGGTCAGGGAGAGCCAGAAGATGTCATCTGAGTGGCTGTAGGAGATGCTCACGACGCAGGCGGATGCAAACTCCCCGCAGTACAAGAGGGTGATGAAAACAATGCCCACCGGCGGCTTCATGCGTGTCACCGCTTGGGAGGCCACTCTGCGCACGACGTGGCGGGGACGGCCTCGGAGCCCCGAGGTGGAGGGGCAGTCCGAGCATTCTGCAATGGAAGCTTCCCCCACAGCGTCCATCCTTGGGCCCGCTGACCCTCCAGCCTCACCAGCCCAGAAAGGGTCTCCTGCCAGAGAGTCTTTGCAGAGGGGGATGCCGGCCACCTTGCCTGGAGTGTCCCTTCTACAGACACAGGCCTGCTCTATACTGCTCGCTGGTTCGCCCGCTCTGCAAACGAACAGGCAACTTGCTTTTCAGATCCCAGCTTCTAGAGCCCCGTGCAGGGTCCGATCCGGGGCAGTGAGGAGTCGGCGAGGGACAGAGGCGCCGCTCGCACCAAGAGCGCTCCACCCATTTCACAGACGCAGGACGGGCGAGCAAGGCTGAGTTCACAGCCCGTTCCGGCAAGTTTCTATAGCAACGCGCGGGGCTCCTCCGAAAGCACCGAAAAACTTCGGCACCTCCTCCCCGCCGGAGAGCAGAGGCGACGCCGGATCGCCCGAGAGCGCAGTGAGGCCGGGCAGCCAGACGGCGCGGGCCCCTTGACGCGCAGAGGTCAGGTCTCGCCGGGGGTCCAGCGCGTCCAGACGGCGGAAAAGCCCAGGAGGTCCGCGGCGCGGAGGGCGCGCTCCCGGGGGCCTCGGCAGCCCCGATCCGGCTTCGCGCCAGGCGGAGGGGCGCGCCTGACGCACGGAGAGCGTCCCCTTGCGCGCTTTTCCTCCGTTTCCACGTGGAACTCGCGGCAGCCGCCCGGCGCTCCTCCGCCTCTCGCGGGCTACGCAACCCGGCGGAACTGCAAGCCCGGGCGCCCTCGTCGGGGAGGCGTGTCCGCGGGAGATCCGCGCGGAGAACCGGGCAGCGGGATCCGCGATCACTCCGCCAGGACGCGTCGTCGTCGCCGGGACGGCATCTTCCTCCTCCTCCTCCTCCTCCCCAGGCAAGCGAGGAGTGCGCAGAGCGACGCCGCTGAAAGGCAAGCAGAGGAGCGGAGAGGAGTCAGCCCAGCCAGGCGTCCTGTGCGCCGGCCGCGGCGCCCAGCTTGGCTCCGTGGGCGGGAGCGCGTCGCCCGCCTCGCCTGACCAGCCGGATCGGGGACCGAGCGTGGGAAAGCGTCCCTCGCCGGGCCCCCGCCCGCCCTGTCTTTTCGGGCTGAGCGGCGAGAGCAGGTGTGTCTGCCTCGCTCTCAGCGTGGCTCTGGGTCCTAGCGCTCGCCTTTTGCAAGACGCACGGACAGACCCGCCGCTCGTTCCCGACGTGTGGGTGTGGAGCTTCTCGATCCGCGTCCAGGTTGCCTCTGCCAGCCGCCCCCGCCGCCTGTGCCTTTAACAGCGGCGAGAAACGAGCGTACGACCTCGGGAGAGTTTCACCTGTTGAATTTCGCTCTGTCCAGCGTTAGAGGCACGGGTGGGCTGGAAAGAGGGAACTGGCAAGCAAGCCCTTCCGAGCTCTTTCAAACATAGCGCACCTTGCAGATGCTAGGATCCAGTTTGCTTTCATATGTTAACATCACTCAGAAGGCGGAAGAGACCCGGTTGGGAAAAAAATGGATAGTTTCCCCATTCTTGCTACCGACCTAAGGAGTGCAATTTTAGATTGCTGCTGCATCTAAAATATCTGTTGTCCTTTATGTTCAAGAAAGGCACACTCTGCCCAAATGCCTTCAGAGTGCAATTCTCCATACACTCACCTCGGAATACGTCTGGGTAGACCAAGTTGACCTACTAGTTCCAGTGGGAGACACTGATCAAAGCTATTGGAATGGATGGGACTTTCCGGATATCTAAATTAGGCAGTTTGGGCCAATATATATCCTATGCAACCCAGTTCCTCACAGCTAGCTTTTGAGCGCACCACCATCTGTGAAATGGGCCCTGCCTAATTCTTGCAGGCTCTGTTTGTGGTTGGCCATTTCCGCAGCTGTTTCATGCTGATAGCTGCCTGCTGGTTCCTGCCAGAGTCCTAAATACTCTTGTGCAAAGGAGTATCTCTCCACTGAATTGACTTACTAAACATGCTCAGGTTTGAAACTGTGAAGAAGGAAGAGATGGCGTGTGCACAAATGATGCAGAGATGGAAGGAGAGAGGGGGAGAAAGGAGAAAAGAAAAGGACACTCCAAAGTGGCCGCCGTGTTTCTGTTTTTTACGGTTCCCCTGTGAAACAGGAAATTACCTGCCCCTGAAGTTTGTCCATTGCCACACCGAGGCTTAGAAAGAGCTGTGTGCTGGTGGTCATGACCGTGCAGCAAGAGCTCCTTCCTCCACATGCCCCATGACCTAACCACACAACCCTTTGCCACAGAGCACAGTTCAGCGCTGGCTCATAACGAGGCGGTCCTGGGTGAGCGGTCTTACTGTGAGTGAGCGGAGTGGGAGGGAGTTCAGTGGAGAACTACAGAACCTGCATGAATCCGGTTCCAGTCTGGGACCTGTGCTCTTCAACATTTTTATTAATGGCTCAGACAAGGAGGTGTAGGTAATGCTGATCAGATTTGCAGATGGCAGAACTGTGCGGGATAGATAATACCTTAAAAGACAGAAACAAAATTAGCTCGGTCTTGATAGACTTGGAGCGCTGGGTTGAAAGCAACAGAATGAAATCCAACAGGGACGAATGCCAAGTTCTAGACCAAGGAAAAATAAACCAAATGCAGAGTTACAAGATGGGAAATACTTGGCTCAAAGTTACTAGCAGTGAGAATGATTTTGGGATTGTACATCACCAGCTGAATACAAGCCAACAATGTGACGTGTTATTGCTTTGGAAAAAAAAAGCAAATGCTATTTTGGGTTGCATTAATTTCAGATCACATGAGGTGCTGGTTCCCCTCTATTCAGCAGTATACAGGCCCCACCTTGATTAATGTGTCTGGTTCTGGTCTCCACAGTTTAAGAAAGATGCAAGTAAATTGGAAAAGGTTCAGAGGAAAACAGCAAAGATGATCTGGGGACTGGAAACAAAGCCCTGTGAGATTGAAAAAAAAACTGGGCACATTTAGCTGGGAGAACAGAAGACTGAGGGGAGGGCTGGCACAGAGAGGAGAGCCAGAATATCTTTTCCATCATGCCAGAGTGCTGGACACAGAATGATGGGCTCAAGTTGCAGGAAGACAGATTCCTGCTGGACATCAGGAAAAGCTTCCTGGCTGTTAGAGGAACCAATAACCCAGGGAAGTTGTGGGCTCCCCCACACTGGAGACACCCATGAGGCAGCTGGATCTGTCAGGGATGCCTGAGCTTGGAGTCCCTCAATGAGCAGGGTTGGACTTGGTGGCCTTATAGGCCTCTTCCAGTTCTACTAGTCTATGAATATTTTAAAAGTTTTAATTGTATTAAATGGTAATAGAACATATTTATTGTATAAAACAGGAAAAGACAGGCCATTTACGGCTGGGGGCACTGGGCTTTGTGGGGCAGGAGCTGCACTGGCTGCCTAATCATGTATGCACTCAAAAGTTGAAGCAAATACTCCAGTCAGTTTCTTTTCTCATGTAAAACTGGGAATGGATGTTGCCCTGCCTAAAAACATAAGGAAAGCCCTGCTGGATCAAAGGCCCACCTAGCCCAGCACTCTGAACACGCGGCAGCAAACCAGCTGCCCACAGGATCCCCCAAGCAGGGTTGGTGCAGGACCTCCTCCTGCCAGGCTCCTCAGCCACTGGTGCAGGCAGGCAGGCCACCTCTGCTCAAGGGGAAGCACACGGCCAGCAAGGCTAGCAGCCACAGATAGCCTCCTCCCTCATGAATCCATCCAGTCCCTTTTTAAAGCCATCCAGATTGGTGGCCCTCACCATTCTCTGTGGCAGCGAATTCCATACTTTAACTGTATGCTGTGGGAAGAAGGACTTCCTTTTAGTTATCCTAAACCCCTCCCCAATCAGCTTCATGGTGTTATGGTTCAAGTGTTACGGGAGAAGGAGAAAAATGTTTCCTTCCCTACTTTCTCCACACCGTGCATTATATTAAACACCTCTGTAACTGCCTCCCCTTATTTGCTGTTTTCCTAAGATGAACAGTCCCAGTTGTTATAGACGTTTCTCAGAGGGGAGTTGCTCCGACCCCCCTGATCATTTTTGTTGCCCTTCTCTGTACTTTTTCCAACTCGATAATGTCCTTTTTCAGGTAAGGTGACCAGAACTGAACACAATATTCCAACTGTGGTCTCACTCAAGATTTGCATAATGGAAGATTTTGGCAGTTCTATTTTCTAGTCATTTCCTAATTATTCCTCGCATGGAGTTTGCCTTCATCACAGCAACTCAGCACTGAGCCAACTTGTTCATCAAGCGGTATACCTCTACCCCAAGATCCCTCTCTTGCTCAGTCAGCACTCGTTCAGATCCCATCAGGGTAAGCTGGGATTTTTTTGCCCCAGTTTGCTTATATTGAACTGCGTTTGCCATTTTGATGCCCATTTTCTCAGCTTGGAGAAATTCCTTTGGCATGCCTCACAATCTCTTCTGGTTTTAACCACCCTAAAAAGTTTAGTGTCATCAGCAAACTTGACTACTTCACTACTTCCTCCTAATTCCAGATCATTTATAAATAGGATGAGAAGCACTGGTCCTAACACAGAACCCTGTGTTCCGCCATTGAGACTGTTTACTGTGCCCCCAGCACTCGCAGTTTTGCCCACACACACACCTTGGCCGTGGAGGTTCTGAACTTCAGCTCTGAAGTCCCTCCCTGTTGCACCACTAATTCAGGGTGGAACCCCAAGGGGCTGGTTGGGGGAAAACGTGCTAGCTTCCATGAGAATAACAGGGAGAAGTGAGGAAAGTGGAAAATGATTCTCCAGTTTTATTTACTTTTAGACCTCACTCATTTATTTAAATAACTTATTTATTCGTTTAAAAACAACACCTCCTTTCCACTTACTAAAACAGCAGCATGACTGTTTACAATCATTTGCATCCAGTTTCAGCCATATCTTGGCAAAGCCAACTGAAATCAGTGGGACTTGACTCAGTGAAATAGAGTTCGGTGCCTAGTTTAGGTATGACTTGACAGCTGTCTGACTGTATAATAAGCTCCCATTGACTTAAGTATGACTAACTCTAGCTTCAGCCCGGAAGCTTTACCCATGTTTTCCCTAAATAGAAGTAGCATATACTTTTCAGTGCTCTTCCTCCCTGAAGCGTAATGCACAGCAGTTTGGCCTGGGCGTAGAATGGAGGAGCCCTGCGGTTCTAAAAGAGGAAAGTGGGCGTTTGTTTAAATATTCCCTTGCCTGCAGATCAGTGTTTGGGTTTCTTTTTTCTTCTCTTTTGTCGGAGATAATTTCTCTGAAAGAAAAAGAAGACGGTTGCCCAGATCCTCTTAAAGAGCCAGGCAGCTCAGAAGACAGGGCAGGCCTGTTCTCGCTCCACTGCAGCCAGAAATGGGCTGTGCTAGGACCCCAGGGGAAGCCTTGCTCGGGTGGTCAAGTGCCGCATGCAGAGATGTGATGGTCCCCTTCCCAAATATAGTCATGAAAGGGTCCGGAGGCAGCTGGGTGC